CCGGCCCGTGTCCCTGCCAGGGGTGAGCCGGCAGCGCGCTGCCAACAGCAGCAATGGGCTGTTTAAAGGGAATTCCGCTTTGGGGCCGGTTACTGCATCCCCTGCGGGGCACGGTAACGCAAATCCCGCTGTAACTCTCTTTAAATGTACGCGCGACGTGCCTGACTCAGTCCGGGGAGGGCAACACGGGCAGCTCCTCTTTGTGCTGAAGGACAAAAAGACTGCTCGCCTTGGTCCGGCGAGCTCCTCGGTGCGGTGTCTCCTCTGAAAGCTTGGTCTGTATGAAGGAAAGCCTGTAGGCCAGTTGGTAGTTTCCATTCTGAAATAAACTCGAGAATTCCCTGGGGCAGTGCTGCTGAGTTCAGGCACCTTTCGGGGCCATTGCGGAGTTCCCAAAGTCTCCTTGGGGCGGCCCTTGGGCCCAGCACAGGGGCCTGAGCAAACGTGGGAGCTGCTGGGAGGAGTGAAAGGCTCCTATTGCAAATAAAACCTCTCTTGTCTGCTGCAGAAAGGATTCGGCTGCTGGACCTGAAAGAGCGCTGGGAGCGGAGCTGGGGGGCAGCAGGGATGACTCCTGCCAAGGAAGAAGATGTGTGCAGCCATGTCAAAGTGGTGGTGCGAGTGCGCCCAGAGAGCCAGAAGGAAAAGCAGGGCAGCTTCAGCAGAGTGGTCCGTGTCATCGACCAGCACGTGCTGGTCTTTGATCCTAAGGAGGAGGAAGTCACCCACAAGCACAGCTTTAACAGGATTGCACCCTTACACATGAGGACCTGAAAGAACCATCCAATTCCTTTCTCCTAAAAAGCTCCAAAAACGTTGGTTGTGTAGGGGACAATCTACACAACATGTAGTTCATTCTAAGGCTATACTGGAAAAATAAAATCTTTCTTTTTTAACTAGGAAAGAGCCAGTTTTATAGTCATAATGACAGGGGAAACAGTACTGTCAAAGCAGGAATAACAAATGGAATATTTGCTATTTTTTTGCTTTACTATGATTTCTTTACATTACCACAGCCTGCCTTCAAATGTCTCCAAAACTACAGGAACAACTTTGTGAAACCCCAACATGTGAACTTGGTGTCTTCTGCATACTTTCAAGGCCTCTCATGTATATATCTCATCCATCCATCCATCCATCCATCCATCCATCCATCTTCCTCTTTTCCAGAGGAAAAAGGTTGTTTTTCTATTCAGGTGATAGAAGCCAGCACTCTACATTCAGGAATATAAGAGAAGCCATAACACAGAACTAAATAAATGCAGACAGATTTTAAAGTATTTTAAAGTTATAGTATTTCATCACCTTGTAACTTTTTAAGGATAATAATGTAAATAATTAGAAAATTTAAAAATTAAAGTTGTAGTTCTCTTTAACTGCATAGAAATCAGAATCACATAATTTGTTGAGGCTTCCAAACTCTTAGAGTTGCCTTATTTTACAAGAAAAAGTTATGAATTGACCACATGAAACTTGCATTTAATGGAAATAGAGACTGACTCCTAATTGCCTGTTGCAAGTGAGCACTAGAAATTGGATTTGTTTTTGCATATTGCAATCTAAATACTGTACTTTTTGATATGACTTGTTTTTATATGTTATTATATATTCTTATATCATTATATATTGTATATCTATTATGTATTTTTAATTCATTGTATTTTTTTTCTAATAAAAATATTAGAAAGTATTGAAGAAGACAATGTTTATTTTTTCCTACTATTTTAATAGTATCATACTATCAATATTTCTGGTTTGTGTCGTCCAAGAATGTTAGCATAATGTTTTAGATAAACACTGAAGCAAATAAAATGATTTTGTCACAGAAACAAAGTTATGAATTGACCACAAGGAAATTGCATTTAATGGAAATAGAGACTGACTCCTAATTGCCTGTTGCAAGTGAGCAATAGAAATTGGATTTATTTTTGCATATTGCAATCTAAATACTGTACTTTTTGATATGACTTATTTTTATATATTATTATATATTATATCATTATATATTGTTATATATTTTAATTAATTAATTTATATTATCAGTTTTTCTAATAAAAATATCAGAAAGTATGGAAGAAGACTATTTTATTTTTTCAAACTATTTACTAGTATTATACTATCAATATTTCTGGTTTGTGTTTTCCCAGAGTGTTACCATGTTTTAAAATGAAGCAAAAAAAATGGTATTATCAACAAAACTCCTAGCTCCATTAAATGAACCTGAACTTGAAAGAACATGCTGTTCTCTATAAGTGAACAGTTTTAAGTGCTCAGGAAGCTCCTAGTGATAAAAAGCTTTTATATGATACCAATGAGTTAGAAACTAAACAGTGTTGACTTTGATTTTTAGCAGCCCAGATAAATTTTGTTTTCATTATAGAAGTTGAAAGGATGAGGAACAGATTTTGCTTCAGAAATTTTCTATATTCCTTGATATTGTTTCTAGTAGGAAGAGAGAATTCCTACTATATTCTTCCTATTCTACAAGTCAAATTCTCTTTCAGAACAGAGATTAATCTCATATTGGGCAAATCAAATTACTTTTTTTTCCCTTTCTTACTTATGGTCTCTGAATATTATTGTTGACTTATGGTCTCCTACTATTATTATTATTATTGACTTTTTCACAAGCATGGTCCAAACCCTACAGATCCAGGTGCAGTCAAGTGCCTACAGTTTGCACATGGCAGAGTGGGAGTGGATTTCACTCACTTATTTAACTCTTTCTGTGGCTGGGGGCTGGGAAATGCTCCTGCAAGTCTTGGATTTCTTATCTTTGCTTCCCTGTTTTCTGCAGTGACTCTGTGTTGCAGAATGCCTGCACAAACTGCAAGACACAGCACAGCCCAAGGTGGTTTCCTTCCAGATTTGCTGGAAGGCAGTGGGCATTTTGTCATCTTTGAACCTTGTGAGGATCCTCATGACTTTGTAAAAAAAAGAATCATTTTGTCATGCTGAAGAAGCTTCTTAGGAAGTAGAGAATCTTTCACTTAGCAATTTTATTTCCAAACAGTAATAGTAAAATAATGATATTAATAATAGAATCCTTGTTTTTGAGGGAAGCATGGAAAGGATTGGAAAAGAGTGTTTCTCAAAGCACAGCAAAGTATTTTTAGAAAATAAACCCAGAAAGAGAACTGAAAAAAGCACATAGGCAATGGGTTTAGATGCAGGCATCTAAATTCTCATTCCTATCCTAGACAGCTAAGGCCTTTACCAAATTTGCCCTAAATACCTGGATGATGTGTGTCAAGCTGGAATTTAACAGGGCTGGGAAACAGGGCAGAGGAAAACAAATAGAAATTTATCAGGAAGCATCAGGGGCAGGGCAGAGTGTGCCAAGAGCTTTCCTGATAAAACAAAAAACTACTGTATTCAGGCCAAAACATATGGAGCAAGGAAGAGGAGGAGCTTTCTGCAAGCCAAGCACAAAGAGGCACTGCTCCTGAACTTAAGGAGCAGTAGTAGATGGGATAAGAATTAAAATGACTTTTCCTGTGATAATTTAACAAATATTTGCCATGATCTTTCTCAGAGCAGAAGGGTTTATTGGAAGAACACTGTGCTCAGTGTTTCTTAAGAATAATTCCTTTTTTTCCTATTCTGATGCTATTTTGGCATCATGGAAGGTACAGCTCGTGTTCAGTCTAATTTCTGCTGAACAGAGTTGTGAGTCTCGTGACAAACAGCAGCAATCAAACTGCCCAAATGAGAGTTTCTATATCTTATTCAACATCTCTAATTACCTACACTAGGGTCTGCAGACAGCCCCACAGCACAGGACTGAAGCTGAAGGTAAGAGATCCCAGGTTTGCTCAGGAATTTGGCTGCAAACATCATACTATACATACTATACTATACATACCATACTCCAATCTGCTTTCTATTACATTTTATTGTGCTTTGCCTCTCACCATATGGATCTGGCTGACATCCCAAGGAACACAGAATGATATTTTTAGCTATATGGTGAGGTAGCTTCATTGATGATGGGATATTTTGAAATTAAGGTGGTCTCAAAGATTTCCACAATTTGTTATTTTTCTGGAATATATAACATTAAAACAACCTTTGCCTGGAATACCTTCATGATCTCCACATTGTTTTTAAAATGTTCGCTTTATGAATAAAAATTTAACTGTTGTTTTTTATTTTCAGTACATCTAAATTAGCTTATTAAAAGAAAAAAGACTTACTTGAAATTTTGACTTTAACTGCATATTGCTGTGATGCTACTTGTGAAAGAACCTGAGTTGTGAGAACACATCTGCAAGCCACCCACCTCATAAAATTGCTGAATTTCACTTGCTGATGCAGAGCCATGAAGGAGCAGCATGCCAGGAGAATCACATCCCTCCTAGAAAGAACCCAATGCATTTTTAAGCCACTGTGGCAAAGTTTGCAATTCAGTTTATTACCATCCACACTCAACACAGGACTGACCTTCTGTTAAAGCTTTGCATTCACCTTGACCATCACATTCCATATCTTCCTCATTCTCTCTCCTGTTACTTTAGATCACTTTGCTTTTCCTTCCAAAAGCACATCAGCAGTAGATTGAATGTTTTCAGTAACCCAGATGTGATAAAGCTGTAGGAATTTCTGAGTTGAGCCCCTGCTTGGTCACTTGTTGGCAGCTGGGGTTGTGGCAGGAGTCAGCAGAGTTCTCCATGAGCAAAAAGTCCAATTCCTTGGGATGACTTTTTCTTGCAGCATCCCTTGGGAGAAGTTACACTTTTCATTTCCAGCTCTAATAAACACAGCCATGACGTGAGTGTTTGAAGAGAGAGAGCCCTGCAGTGATGCAGGCAGAGCACAGGAAGGGCAAAGAGCTCAGAGACAGGGCTGGCACAGAGTTATTGTGGAATTCACTGTGCAAACAAGAGATGTGGGGCAAAAAAAGCCAAATTTATTGAAGTGTGTATATGTGGGGAAACTCCCAGCTCCAAGAGCGGCATATTAGAACAAATTCTACATGCACAATGGGGAATAAAAGCCCCAAGGTAGTGATTTCTGCCTCTTAATTTTTAGTGTATTATGTGTTTTTTTCCCCTTTGGTTGAAGGGGTTTTTTTAATTTACTGCATATATGCTGAAATATGTGTGTACTATCTAATGTGCTGTTTCTCTCAAAACAGTAATTTAAGATGAATCTCATTAAAGCCCTTCTTCCTGAGCAGATAAACAAAGTGCTAATGTATTTTTAATGAGGTAAGGTGATTTCTTGCTGTGAAAATGGGCCTAGACCTGTAAAAACACCATTTTCTTTCCACCCAATGAGGATAATGATGAGTTTTTATCAATGCATCATTGTCCTATTTGCTGCTAAGGCTGACCTAGTGAGCTACATACAAGAACTAGGGACTCCTCTGCCAATAAAAAATTCATTGTTGCCCTTCTGAAATTGAATTGTTTCATTGTTTGAATTGCTATGAAGCCATTATCATAAATTTCCACAATCTTGTTTGAATTACAGATTACAATTTGGTCATGTTTCG